TGCATTGTTCTGCAGGGTGTTAAGCTAGATAAACGTATGGCAAATGTGAATTTCTCATTAAATAATTATAGTGAACGTGTAGCGAGTTTTGTCCAAAGATAGTATGGGTCTTTGTGTCACTGCTCCGATATTTCTTAATGATTTGTATATATTTTTATTGTTAAATATACTACTAAAGCTTCTGTTGCAATTAAAAATTTTTTAAAAAATAAAAACTCCTTCGACCATTACACTTGGGTGTCTTACATGTTTTGGTAATATTTATATAATATCAGCAAATTGAGTTAAATGGATTAACAAATAAATAACAAACCTATGACACACAAAGATTGTAAAAGTTCTGGCTGAGAGTGTATATTTACAAGGTCAAGTGAGACGTAGCTGTCAATATGGGAGTTTAAAGGCACACTGAAGTCCCCAAAACAACTTTAGTTTAATAAAGTGGTGAAGTTTCACTGCTCAATTCACTGCCATTTAAGGGATAAAATCACCTTTTTCCTGTTTATACAGTCCTACTCACATTTGTGTTTACCATGAAAGTTGCAATTTTGTTTTTTATAATTTTTTTTGTTTTTGTTTTTGTCTTACTTTACAGAGAAATATGTAAGATTTATAAAAATAAAGAATGTCATAGATTTTTCATAGCATATCTAATGGGACATTCAAAGTAACAACACTGCTTTAATGCATGTTATAGATATGGGTTCAATAACATGCTATATTTATACATGCTAAATTCCCAGTTGTTTTTGCAAATAAAATGTATGTTTAGTGCATGTTTTACAGCATTCAGCTCCCTAGTCGTCCCCAGCCTAACCCCCCTCAACTCAGGAGGAACTTTAATTCTATTGACCTCCAGCAGCTGTCAACTGATATGGATTCACAGCTGCTATCCATCCTTTCCCTCTCCTATCCCTCACTGGCCATCTCCACATATAACACCACCATCACCTCTGCCTTGAAGAGGACACGCCCCCAACTGTGGCATCCTAAATTAACACGCTACCTGCAAAGATGCTCCCGTTGTGCTGAACGCTCCCAGAGGAAGTCTCGCACCCAGTCAGACTTTCTCCATTATAGATTCATATTGTGTCCATATAGCGCAGCCCTTGCCCTCGCCAAACAGCCATACTTTTCCTCTCTCGTATGCTACTTTACAGATAAGATTGAACAGCTAAGAAAATAATTCTCCCTACCCTGCCTTTCTCTTTCTCCACCACACATAGATCATGCCTTTCCTAACCTCCTCCTAATACTGATCCTCCTCTTTCGCTCTCCCTTCAAGTTAGTGGTATCCACATAAGTCCATCCTTGCAAGCGCGCTGTCTTGGCCTCATACTTGACTCTGGCCTCATCTTTGAGCCTCACATCCAGTATGTTGCCAATATCCTGTAGATTCCATCTTAAAAACATAGCCTGCACCTGCCCGTTTCTTAAGCAAGATGCTACCAAGGAACTTGTCCATGCTCTAGTAATTTCCTATGCAGTAAGAGGTAGAGGCAGAAAATGCACTGATTCAATAAGCAGTAACAACATTATAACCGTGCAGCATAAAAACTCCCACTGTATTTCCTCCAGTGTATATCCAAACCAGTGACCTTCTCCTGTCTGTTGCTCGCATCGGTACGGCCAACTCACGCTTGCAGGACTTCTCGCAGGCGGCTTCCCTAGGCAAGGTGAGAGGCAGGGACCTAACAAGAGCAAAGATGGAGGAATAGGATGAGATATATAACTAGACCTTAGATTTGCCAGGCTAATGTAAAGGTAGAACTAGGATGTAACATAACTAGACTAAGAGAAGGCTACAGACCAGGAGAGAAACACTATACAGAAAGTACAAAATACACAATAGCAGATATAGGCAGGTAACAGGAAACACAGAAACCAAGGTGTAGTCGAGACAGGCAAGGGTCAGGAGCACAGAGTCAGTGGATCTGTTAATAGTTCCAACATGTTAGTTAGACTGAATTTTAGAGCTGAATGGAAAACAAAAGAGACAAAGTGCAGAACTGATCATAAATGACGATTGATCCTTTAGGGCATACCTCCCAAGTGTTCCTACTGAGGAGGGACAGTCCCTACTTTGGGCCCAAATCCTCCTGTCCTTCATTTCTATCCTAATGTCCTTCTTTTCTATGAGCTCAATATTGTTGGTGTGTCTGAGTGTGATAATACAACAAAGTAGTATGTCTTTAAACTACAGTAAATGTGTTTAGAAATCAGTCTATGTAGATAAGATACATTGTTCTTGTTCCATATTACATTTTAGATGCATAAACTGTTATTAGTAAGTCACCATGTCTTATCAACACTAATAATGTTGGCTAATTTTCAGACATTCAAGTTACGGAGCACTTAGAAAACATTGACCATAATATGGTATAATTTGAATTTAACCCCCAAAATTTTTTTTTAAATACAATCTATATATATATAGGCTATACAAAAACACTTACTTTTAAAAGGCTAAATTCAATAGGATAAAGGTATCTTTACAACAAACTGAATGGCAGGAAATACACACTGGCAAAAGCACAGAGGATAAATGGAAGGTCTTTAACCAAATTCTGCAAAAGTTAATTTCTCAATATACGACTTTGGGAAAAAAATATAAAAAAAGCAAATTAAAACCAGCGTGGCTTAGTACAAGGGTCATTCAAATGATAAAAGATAATATCAGATCGGTCAATTGCTCCCTATAACAAATATAAGCATGTCAATAGGGCTTGCAAAAGGACGATTATATGGGCTAAACTTGAAAATGAAAAGTTCACAGCCAAAATACTTTAATGCCAAAAAGGTTAAGAGTGAAATTGATGGTCCATTGGACAAGTGAGATGGGTGAGTTAATCAAGGAGGATCAGGACAAGACAGAAATTCTAAATAATAATTTTTCTTCAGTATATATGGAATACGAATCTATGGCTGTAGATTTTCAAATCCCTGTTGCAAAAGCCTTACAACAAATAGGTGATTGGTTATTACAGGATAAAGTGTTTTAGAAGTTAAATTAAGCTAAGTATAGGCATATCCATACAACAGTTTTTAATTTTTCTGGATTCTTTTCTTTCAGGAATTGTACCAGAGGATTGGAGAAAAGCAGATGTGGTGCCCATATTTAAAAAACGTTCAAAAGCTCAACCCGGAACCTACAGGCCCGTGAGCTTAACATATATGGTACAGAAATGATTTGAAGGATTTTTAAGGGATAATATTCAAGAATTTAGTTTGGACAAAAAATATAATTAGCAGGAATCAATGTGGTTTTATGAAATACAGGTCATGCCAAACTTGATCGCTTCTTGTGAAGAAGTTAGTAGAAATACAGACCAGAATGATCTGGTAGATGTGATCTACTTGGATTTTGCTAAGGCAGTTGATACAGTTCCACACAAAAGGTTACTAGTAAAACTGAAATCTGTTGGATATAACACTGGCTTAAAGATAGAGTGCAGAGAGCAGTTGTAAATGGAAAATTTGGAAAGTTGGACAAAAGTGGTAAGTGGGGTTCTGTTCTGGGTCCACTTCTCTTTAATCTGATTATAAATGATCTTGACGTGGCCATTGAAAGTCATTTGTCTGTGTTTTTTGCAGATGGCACAAAACTATATAAGAAAATACAGTCGGAACATGATATAACTTCTCTACAGAGGGATTTGGATAAATTGGGCATCTGAGCAGGTAAGTGGCAGGTGAGATTCAATACAGATAAATGCAAAGTCATACATTTTGGGATAAGGATCCACAAGCCACTTATATATTTAATGGGGTTGAGTTATGGATAACATTTAATTAAAAGGAAGAACGGGAATATTTATAGATCACAAACTAGACAATGCCGGTCGGCCGTTGCAAAAACTAGTAAGGTGCATTCGTTTATAAAAATGGAATTTATTTCACATGACCCAAATATCATTTTGCCTCTTTATCAAATTAAACTTGAACATTTTGGGCATCAGTTTTAAAGAAGGATGTTGCTAAACTAGAAAAAGTGCAGAGGTGTGCTACAAAACTAGAAAGTGGAATGGAAAACATTAGTAATGAGGAAAGGATAGAAAAGCAGGATTTATTTTCTTTATAAAAAAGGCACATGAGAGGTGATATGATAAAACTATACAAATATATACAAACAGACAAGAGGTCACCCATAGAGACTGGAAGAAAGGCGTTTTCACTTACAGCAGATGAAAGGGACCTTTACAGTAAAGATAATAAAAATATATGGCATTCTCTGCCTAAATAGATTGTTATCAGATCCTATGGATAATTTTTTTTTAAAGGCGTGGATGCTTTTTTTGTATAACAGGATATTAAAAGATATAGTTGATATGTATGTATACAGGTTATTGATCCAATGAGAAATATGATTGCCATTATGGAGTTGAGAATAACTTTTTCCCCTTTTTGAGACATAATTGGAAATGGCTTTAATTGGCTTTTTTGCCCTTCTTTTTGATTGACAGTGTAAAAGGATGGGCTTCAGGGTTAACACCTTAAGGACTGAGCCAATTGTACACGTTTGATCAAAATAAAACGTAAGCAAAACTTGGAATTTGACTATATGTCTGTTCAACCGTAATTCACCTCTTTCATATTAAGTGCACCCACCCTTATTATATATCATTTTATTCAGGGGAAGCAGAGCTTTTATTTAACATCAAATATTTAGGCATAAAACATAATTTAATATGAATAAAATATTTTAAAAAATGAGAAATTAGGAAATGTTATTTTGTTTAGTTCTGCATGACATTTTAACTGTGAATGTCATAATACTGTTTGCTTTTACTGCAATAAAATACACATATTTGTATTCAGCGATGTCTCACGTGTAAAACTGTACCCCCTATGTACAGGTTTTATGGTGTTTTGGGAAGTTACAGGGTCAAATATAGCATGTAAAATTTTTCAGTTTTTTTCACATTGAAATTTGCCAGATTGGTTATGTTGCCTTTGAGACCATATGGTAGCCCAGGAAATGAGAATTACCCTCATGATGGCATATCATTTGGAACAGTATACAACCCAAGGTATTGCAAATGGCGTATGTCCAGTCTTTTTTAATAGCCACTTAGTCACAAGCACTGGTCAAAGTTAGCATTAATATTTGTGTGTGAAAAACGCAAAAAAACTAATTTGAACGCCAATTTTGGCCAGTGTTTGTGACTAAGTGGCTACTAAAAAAAGACTGGACATACCCCATTTGCAATACCTTGGGTTGTCTACTTTTGCAAATGGTATGCCATCATGGGGGTAATTCTCATTCCTGGGCTGCCATACAGTCTCAAAGGCAACGTAACCAATCTGGCGAATTTCAATGTGAAAAAACTGAAACACAAGCCTTATATTTGACTCGGTAACTTTTGAAAAACAAAAACACCATAAAACATGTACATGAGGAGCACTGGTGTATCCTTGTTTTTTGCTGCCCTAGACGTTGTAATACATTTTACTGCTTTGAAACGCTAAGATTTGTGTTCAGCAAAGTCTCTTAAGTAAAACAGTACCCCCCATGTACAGGTTTTATGGTGTCTTGGAAAGTTACAGGGTTAAATATAGTGCTAGCAAAGTAAATTCTCCGGACTTATTGCCTGGGTTATCAAATTGTAATTAATAAAATGACTTAATTATGTAGGAATATTACAATATAACATAAATATATATGTAGAACTAATATATGCAGTGGTGTATCCTGGTTTTGTGCTGCCGTCCAAGGCAAATGCCTTGTTTGCCTCACGGCTAATACGCCCCTGAATATATGTATGTGTGTGTGTGTGTGTGTGTGTGTGTGTATATATATATATATATATATATATATATATATATGTATTATTTTGTTCAAAGTGTATTTTGATATCAATATATATATATATTATTATCAAACTACAGTTAGAACTATTCTTTATTTTTAATTTTTAACGTATTTATATATTTATTTTATATTATATATATAATTATATATATATTTAATTAATATCATTCTACATGTATTTTGATATTAATATCAATATATATAATTATATATATTAACATTAAAATACACTTAGACAGTGTATGTGTATGTATGTGTAAGTGTGTGTATATAATATATATATGATATAAGTATATATTATTTTATTTTACACTGTGTTTGAACTTTATTAAACTTTATTTCATGCAACAGGGGGACTCCCTGTCATTCCAGGCAGTCCCCCTGCTGGCACTGCTGTGGATGGCTATTCTGTCCATGTGATCATGAGCTACTTGCAAGGACCTCACAATCACATGGCCCAGGAAGGCCGGATCGGCAGCAGGGCAACTCCCTGGGATGCCAGGTAAATGCCCCCATCACAATGGACGTGCTAAGCCGCTGGCCGGCGTTTAGAGCCGGGTCCCCAAGGATGGCATAGCACGCCTGCCATCCTTAAGGGGTAAAACTTGATGGACTTTATTCTTTTGTCAACATAGACAACTATGTGACTTTGTAACCTAAAATGTCTCCGAGCAGCCCCACCCCTGGCCACACAACCACTCAAATAAAGATAATAAATATAGCCAGGTTTCTATATTATAGCAAGGTGGAGATTTCATTTCTTTACACAGAGTGAATTTTATATACAAAATATGTTGTGCTGTGTATAGCAGAAGTCAGCAGAACTTTGCAGAAGGGTAGTTTAGTGACGGTGTCTTACAATACACACCTTTGTGTCACAAAGCCCCGAGGTGTCCTCATATCTTCCAGGACTGCTCACTCTTTTGACTCATTGCCTCACTGATTCACACCTATTGTATATCTCTGTCTAATGGTGCAGCCAAAAAGAATCTGTCATGTTTGTAAGCCGTTCTGTCTCTTCGCTGATCTGTGCCAAGGTGGGAGAGATGACAATTCACTTATTTGTATATTCAAAGAAGGCTGATGTTGAATCCCAACTATAGTCCCTTCCATCACCATCCTGACAATATTAATGATCCAATATAAAGGGACCTCTTGGCTGTGATGTGTGACAAACACACGGGTTTCAACGGGAGAACTAGACAGTTGGGGACACTGCGGTGGCATATTTTCACTTCAAGGACCCTATACATATTGAGAAGGGATCTCTGTGGTTTGAGTGGGTAAAAGAGATGGATTATTTTTATTATGCCATTTTTTTTTTTTCGAAACTTAAAATAAAATAAATTATAAAGAAGTAGATTGCCGGCAGGCGGCAAGGAATTGCAGATAATGGAAGACTTTTGCCTCAGGGCACAGGACCTGCTTTGCCTATTCCAGCATAACTAGAATATTTATAATTCAAATACTTATGTTTAATAATTAAAATACCGAGGAATATTAGAGACAAAAGATAGAGGATTTTGTGTACACACATCTATGCACTGTGCACTGAAAGCCCTCGAGCTAAATACTTCCTAGAAATAGGTTTAAAGAGGGTGACAATAAAAATGAGCATTTTCGAAAACGTAAAGAAAACAGAATTTTAGACTCCCACCCATATTTGTAAAAGGAATGTTCATTCCTTGTTAACATCCTATACAAATGTGACAGTGCTAGCATATAAAACTACAGGATTTTGTTTGTGTTCCTTATTTATATCCTTTACGATTAAGGTTGTGATTATTTGTGCAGATGAACAGAGAGGCAAAGTCAAATAAACTTAAAATTTTTGTTAGCTGTACAGAAGTGCAGCTTTTTTTCCAAAGGCTGTGTGTTCTGATGTGAATGCAAACATAAAGGATGCTACACACTGCTCTTGATGGAGAGATTGTTTGAATAGACACAGGCCTCAAAACCATCCTCTTTCTCCGTACCGACTTAGCAACACTGTCAATTAGAGGATAGATGACAGCAAGTGAGGGGGAAAAATGACAGTATTTATAATGTACAAAGAGAATTAATTTAGTTAGAGGCTAAATAACCCCCTGTGTATAGATACCATGCAGCGTAATGTTATTTATCTTCCCCTGCTTTAGATTGAAAGGCCATAATATACAAGCATTCAGAGGTTTTCCAAATTATTCCTGAATTGTCATATTTGCTTAATGGAGCAGATTCGGCACCCTTCATTATTCCTCAAATATCACTTGTACGATAGATTGGCTCAAGTCGTTGGTAAAATACTGAAAAGAAAGTCCCAATATGAAAACCTATCCTCCCTTGTTTGACAAAAAGTTTGCTATGATGTGGACAATAATCTGAAGCTAACCAAACATAGACACTAGAAGTTCTGCGAACGGTAACTGTAACAAGTTCTGCTTGGCTAAGAGGGATGGAGCAATAGGTCCCCGAGTACCGAAAACTAACTGCACCTACTAAGCCATTCCAGCAGTTTGCAACCTAACTCATAACTATTCTACAGCATCAAATGTCTATATAATGCAATTTCTATGCAGCTCACAGATGCAAATAAGTCTGCCCTCTCTCAGGCCTTTCTGTCTGTCATTGGTTAGCTTTCTGTGCACTAATAATCCTGACTCATGCACCCCATGCCAAAATCTGTTTATTTGATCTTTTCTTTATAAGGCTTGGTCTCCGCGAGATCTTTAAGGCACACACATACTCTTCCCTCCCACCTGCCCCCTCACTCACCCACCCTTAGGCTCTGTCCCATATTATAGACACTAATTGGTCACATGACCTACTTAGAGAACTGCAGACTACACACCTGTTATGTCTCTTGTTTTTCATTATACATCTATCCATTTTCACTAAAAGATCTCTATATCTCCTCCTCCTCTTTACAGTAAGCAAGTCAATCAGAGGGAACTCTGCTCCCATCTAGTATCACTTTAACGTGTTTTTTTTTTTTTCTGTAATTTACTTAAATTGTTTATATACTCATAAATAACTGCATAAAATGTAGTAAGAAAAATGCCTTGATATACATATTTCACTTTAGACATTTAGCTCACTGGCTGTCATGCATAGAGCTTTCTATAACAGTGCTACAACTGTTAGATTAACGTCAAAGTAGATCCTCTTGTACTATGTTATATAATGCTATATCTTTTTGTCGGTAACCCTACCTTTGATTAAGGTCTACCAAGAAATAGAGGTCCACAGGCGTCACAATGTAGGGTGAAGGCAAAAAAAATATATTTCTTGGAGATTAAAAAGGACAAAAAATATATAAAATGTTTTGGCCTAGAGGCCTTAGTCATGTATATGATTAAGGGCTAACTTTGTAGAGCACTATAATAACACTATATAAGCATTATTTGGTCATTACAACTTGTGTGGGCAATCCCATAACCTAAACTTGGACACTGCTCATGCACTGGAGATTATGTAAACTGTAACTCTAATTTAACGGGAGTTACAACCTAAAGCACGTTGGGAGATATTTATCAAAGTGTTCTGAAATGTGACCGGTAAATTTCATCCTTATTTTGATCGTATTTTTTTTAAAGTGATATTCTAAGAGTTGTCAACGAAATTTCCATTTCAGAAGACCAACGAATTGAGAGTAACGGAAAAAAGAGAAATTAAACAGTACACCTTTATGTCTGAAAAAACGTAGGAAAGATTGCTAAATCCGTTGGGTTGCTGAAGAAGTGGCATACATTCAAAAAAAATTGTCAGGGCACAAAAAAGCAGTAGTATCAAATCTCTGTGCATGTTAAAAAGCACAGACTACATTTCTTACAGTGCCCTTGCACCAGTGACTCACAAAGCGCTGGGATAGCAAAGGTCTTGTAAAAGTCCTGGTGTTGAATAAATCCTGCAGTATGTTGCGTTGCTGTGAGGCTGAGGCAAATAATCTCTGCATGCCAGTAGTGTGGGGGTTTAGATGTCCCTCTGTCCCCTTGTCAGCCTTTCCATGTACTCCACATACATGGTCTCAGCACAAACTTCACACATACATTCTCAGCTCACATACACTCTTTGTATACAGCAAAGTTTTATCAAACACTCATTCTCAGCATCCACAGAAACAAGCTTTTCACAACCACATCACACACATTCACTCAATCTCAGCACATACAGAACTGATGCACGGATACACACAGTTAAGCATTCTGTACACCTACTCCGCTTATATAATTTGAATATATATCTTTCACCCACACCTGATTACACAATGCACTTTTTTAGCCAACACAGGAGTCACACATAGTTACACAATGCACTTGCAACAACATCTCATATATATATTGCTACTACAGAACATCTTGCAAATATGAGCCTGTAGGCAGGAAATTCCTGCTTGACCTGCAGTAGTTGTCAAACCTGCGAAAAATTGCTACAAAAAATATACATTCAAA